ATTAAAAAATAATAAAACCTTTATTATATAATAAAATTTTTTTATCATAAAAATAGAAATTTAGTAAGAAGGCAATACCTGTCGAAACAAAATGAAAGTAAGTTTTTAACTACTCCTCCTTTGAGAATGTTGGTGAACATGGACCATGGGCTGTCATTCATTACATTTGTTCTGTACTGTAGGTCAGTATGGGGAGGAGGGTGGGAGGGTTTTTGGTTGGTTCTCTTGGTTTTGCTTTTAAGCTTATGGTCAAAGTAAAACATTCTGGTCCCATCACAGAATTGTTAGCCCCATTCACTGACAGATTCCCCCCCATGTAATCCCAGAGCCCAGGGATTAGATATTTTCAGTAGTTGTAATGATTAAATGAAGACAAGCCTCTTGTGTAGCACACTGCCCTTCAGGGTGAAACACGGGCTAAGTGTGTTTCCCTCCCTGATGCAGACAGGCATGCGCGTGCTTGGGTTCACCCGCTGCCCTTCCCCTCCAGTTCTGTTAGCGCTGTGCTCACGGTTGCCCAACCGAGCCTTCCTTCCAGCTCAGGTTCACTTTGACATTTGGAAATAAGTGCGTGCTGGAACGCCAAGTAGCGTGGGAACTCGGGCTACCCGAGGTTCAGCTCTGTTATTGCCTCACCCGAGCTTCCAGGGCAGCCGGGCAGCCTGTGAACGCAGCCTCGGAGGCTCCGCTTCGTGGAGCGTGAACACGCAGGGCTCACGGCCACGCAGAGCGTCGGCGGAGAGTGGGGAGTTCCCGTGGGAATCCACTCTGCAGGGCCGGGCGGTTTTCCCTCTTGCAATAGTGGTGGGCACCATTTTCAGTTTTGCAGACATTTCCTAGCCTTGATTCTTGGTGATGTTGTTGTTAGTTTCTATATTGTGAAAGTCAGCTTTGTAGCCATAGTGAAAGTATGTTAAACGTGTGACTCTGTCACTGAATTCATTTTTAGGAAATTGAACTGTTATTTTCCAGGTGCGGGGAATGTGCAGCTCATAGAAAAGTAATTCTACTGGTGTTTGAACAACTTTTTTCCTCCACGAAAAGTTTATTTATTTTAAAGGGCTGAGAGAGAGTGGCAGTTCTCTTGGTGTGTTACAGAGCAGATAGAAAATCTCTGCCCACCCAGACCTGTGCTCACCACCCCAGTGTCCTATTTCCTCGTGTATCACAAATGGTTTAAATGTAGATTGCGGAGGGGGGGCATTTAAGGCTTTTTTGTGTACTGTCATCCCTTAAACTTCCTGGGCTTTTATATACTTTAATAATCTTTAAATAATCATATGAGCAGCATTATTAAAATATATATAATGTACAGTAAAATTAAATGGCTTCCAAACAATGAATGACGCTTTGAGGATATCCATTCAGTTCACTGAAGACAGAACATCCGAGAGATAGTGTAGACTCTTTTTAGTAGAAATAATTACCAAAGTTATGGTTAAGGGTGGTGTTTTAAGTATTTTTCCTTTTTATACTGCTAGAATCTCTGCAGTAACAGAAATGGTGTCCAATTATAGTTCTCAGAATGGAATTGTTTTACATTTTATGCTTTTGTCCAAGCATACAATACTCTCAAGGGTCGTTTCAAAACATATCACTATCTTCATTACAGAGGCAATGAGTATGTTCCTTTCCTTTTCTTTGTCCCTCTGCAGTCTCTCCCTGCCCCCCACAAGCCTTAACTGCCAGAAACAGAAGTCAGCAGCATGGGTTTGGTGTCGTGTATCATCACCAGAACTCCTCATTTAAGGGTAGTCATTTCAGTTTTGTTAAGATAGGATTTAATTTGTTACAAAGACTTTTCAGGGGTATACGTATTTTTTAATTTAATTCCCATAAGTAAATAGATAATGAATGAGCATCTTTAAAGACAAACTTAAAATATTTTGCCATAGCTGGCATGGCTCAATGGTTGAACGTCAGCCCATGAACTTGGAGGTCACAGTTCAATTTCTGGTCAGGGCACATGCCCAGGTTGTGGGCTGGATCCCCAGTAGGGAGGAGTATAGGAGGCAGCCAATCGAAGATTCTCTCTCATCATTGATGTTTCTCTCTCTCTCCCTCTCCCTTCCTCTCTCTGAAATCAATAAAACACATTTAAAATATACATATATATTTTATCATATATTCTGGAATATTACTGTTTAAACCAATAACCTTAGCTTAACTGGATTAAACAATTTATTCTCTGTTTTCTGGTCTGCAGATAGGGTTTATGACAGTGTCTGCCTCACAGGGACACCAGGATGGGGGTGAAGGAGCAGATCAGTGTGAGCTTCCATCTTGGTCCAGGGTGGGGGGCTGCTTCGTGCCCCAGAACAGTGCGACCTCCAGACCAGGAGTGTCAGGTGCTCTCTCCATATACTGTATGTTTGTCCTAAAAACAATCACTCTTGCCCGGCCGGGCGTGTCTCAGTGGTTGAGCGATGACCTAGGATCCAGGCAATCGGGGTTTGATTCCCAGTCAGAGCACATGCCCAGGTTGTGGACTCAATCAATGACTCTCTCATCATTGATGTTTATCTCACTCTCTCTCCCTCTCCTTTCCTCTCTCTGAAATCAATAAAGATATATTTAAAAAAACAACAAACAAAAAAACAATCACTCTAGCCACAGCAGTGGAAATTCTGTATTGGTTATTTTCATTGGGCTCTGGGCTCAGAATGATGTCAAAAGCACCCTGCAAGCTAGCACAGTATTTTCTTGAGCTGTTTGGGCTTATAATATCAGACTGATTTTGAACTTGAAGACTGCCCTGTCCAGTGAAAGAGACATCTTCATCACAAATGCTTAATCCTAAAATGCATTCATATCTCAGCCACTTTGATGTGATATCCACTCAAAACCACTACAACAAAAATAACACCTTCATTACTGGCACAAAATTCAAACTGAGGGTTTAGACGTGGCCTCAAGGCTGACTTAGTTATTATCTCCCACGTAAGGAAGGACAGACGATGTCATTTAAAATTGTAAACTGCCCAGCCCCCTGTGCAGAGTTTGAGTGTCGACCTATGATCCAGGAGATTGCAGTTCAATTCCTGGTCAGGGCACATGCCGAGGTTGTGGGCTTGATCCCTGGTCGGGGGCGTGCAGGACGCAGCTGATCAGTGACTCTCTCATCATTGATGTTTCTATCTCTCTTTCCCTCTCCCTTTCTCTCTCTGAAATCAATAAAAACATACATTTTTTAAAAATTAAAATTGTAAACTCTGACCTCATACTTGAAAACATTCCACTTTTCTATGGCTTGAATGAAAAGTGACTGTTTTTGAGAGAAAAAGATGCCTGCTACCCCTGCATTTTACAGCATTACTGATGTTCCAGTGTTTCTATTTAAAATCATAAAGGGGGCAGAGAAAAGCATGTTTTATTTTACTAGCAGTGCCTCCTCAGCCCCTGGTAGGTAGTAAGACTTACAGAAAGATGCCTCTCCTACTCCGGTGGAACCCTGCCAAGTCCCGAGCTTCTCTCCTGCCAGTTGCTCCTCTTGCAGATTTCATTCCTGTTCATCCTGACATGTAGATTGAAAGGTAGCTGCTGCCGTGGGTCTGAGTGTTTCTTCAGGACCAGGTGACTCCTTACAGATCAGAACCAGGCGACAACAGAAAACCCCTGCCTCAAAGGATGGCTGTGCAGAGGGCTGATCCTGTTCTGTGAGCTGGGCAGAGCCCCACAGTCCTGGGCCAGACTATTCAGATGCTTTTACAAACGGGAGGCCAGGTCTGGTTACCCGATCCTCTTCTATAAAAGGGATAATTAAAAGTTATTTTTAAATTTGCTTGCTTCCTAAATAGTGTTGGGAACAATCCCTGTGTCAGTGTGCTTTCCAGGGGGCCTGATCTCAGGGACATGGGAGCCTTACCCTGCCCCTGTCCTCCGGCTCCACTGAGGGTGCACCTTGTAGGGGCAGAGTCTGCGTACCTCCCCTTTGTCAGTCTTAGCATCCTTCCCTTTTCAGGCTTCGAAGGTTCTCTCCCTTGCTGGCACTCTCATAGGATTCTCACAGACACATCTGTTAGCATAGTGAAGCCAGGAGACGTGACCCACACCATAGGAGACTGCTGATCACTGACCCGAAGGAAAGGGGGCAGTGAGGAGTGCTGGGAAGAAGCTGCTGGAAGCCCGGAGTGCCCAGGAAGGGAGTGCGGGGCTGACTGAACCACTGGGCACAAACGCAGGACTCCTTCCTGCCTCTGGCTGTGTTCTCAGGAGCCTTATTGATGCCATCGCCCCAGCCCCACGGGGCCTTATCTACACTTGACTCCGTTCCCACAGGTCCCCTGTTCCCCCTCCAAGGATACCCTTCCCTCCGTGGAAGGACCTCCCTCCATCCTCGCTGTGTGATGGCAAAAACAGCTTTTCTTGAGAGGCAGTCCTGGCTGGATGCCGTATTGGGCACCCCTGTCATTGTTCTTATACCTTCTCTGTGGCACCGACCTCAAGATCTGTGGGTCAAAGGAAGATTTCTTCAATCGCGAGAATGTACCAGGCCCGCCCTAGAAAAGGAGCTGACCCAAAGTAGTGGGCTTTGGAGACAGAACCATAATAAATAGCCCAGTAAGGCAGCGGACTCAGGAGCTGGCTAAGCCATGATGCAGGCAGGGCAGCAGTGGGAATTTCCTAGAGCCGAGAGGGGGGGTCCGAGGGGGCTGCTGCCCTGGTGACAGTCTGTCTCGCTCTCTGCAGTGCGGGGCTGCCTTCCAGGAGGAGGATGTCATCGTGCTCAACGGCACCAAGGAGGACGTGCAGACGCTAAAGAGCAGGATGGAGGAGAGACGGCTGAGAGCCAGGCTGGGAAAGGTAACCGGGTCCCGCGCGTCCCTCACCTGCCTAGTTGTGAGCAAGTCTTCAGGTCCCGCCTGCTGCTCCTCTGCTCCAGAGCCGATGCAGTGGATGCAGACCCCTGCACAGCGTTGCTGGCGGCTGCTTCGGGTTTGCAGTGACTGAGGCGTTTTTTGCAACCAGAAGGGCCTGGGCTCTGGAAAGATTCCAGGGCCTGCTTGGCCTCATGCTCTCTCTTCCTCGCTCATCCTCTTGTTCAGTGACTACCCCTGCATAGGATGTGGCGGGGGGCGGGGCGGGTAACGGGACCTGTCAGGAGGGGGGGACTGCAGCTGGTGAGCCACCACTCTTACTGACTTTTTAAAGAGAGCAGCTGGCCCGGCCGGGTATGGCTCAGCCGTTGAGCGTCAACCCATGATCCAGGCGATCAGGGTTTGATTCCTGGTTAGGGCACACGGTCAGATTCCCAGGTTGCGGGCTCCATCCCCAGTCGGGGGCGTGCAGGAGGCAGCCAATCAATGGCTCTCTCATCATTGATGTTTCTCTCTCTCTCTCTCTCCTTCTCCTTTCCTCTCTCTGAAATCAATAAAGATATATTTAAAAAATAAAGAGAGCATCTGGCCCTCTGTATCTGCAGGTTTTCATCAGCAGATTCAGCCAACCACAGATCGAAAATATTCAGGGGGGAAAAATCCCAGAAGGTTTTAAAAAGCAAAACTTAAATACACTGAGTACTACACTAAATCCACACAAAGGAAGTGGTGTAGGCACTCCCTGCTGTAGCCTCTGTGCACATACAGGTTAAGTGCAAATACTTTTTATATAGATGGCATTTTTATAAAGGACTTGAGCATCCTTGGATTTGGGTACTGTGGGGTGTCCTGGAACCAATGTCCTGTGGACACCAAGGGAGGCTACCTACTCATCGTTCACAACTTGTGACATCAGGAAAAGTGCACCCGGCACATAAGCAGAGCCGGCTGCCAAGACCTGAGTGTTCCAGGTGTCACCCGGAGACCTGGGAAGCCCAGGAGCCTGTGTTCCCACCCACCCCAGGGTGCAACTCCTCCAGTAGCACCTTGAGTAGCATGGAGCTAAGCAACCTCCCCACAAATGGGAGCTGCCTCTCTGGTCTTCCTTAGCCCTAGGTTCTCCAGAAGGGCAGCCGGGGGTGGACACTGGCTCGTGACTAGAGCTCTGGGCGGACATGCAGGTAAGGGTCTTGTTCTGTGGCCCTCGGCTTGGATCCCATTTCCATAAGCAGTGACCTGACATTCCGAGCAGGCTCAGAAAAGCATATCAGCTTAAAAATCTTCCAATATGCCATTGATTCTGGATCCAGCAGTAAATTTTGTTATTTCTTATGTATTTCCAGATGGTAGCTTTGGTCTTTTGTGAATGGCAGAATTTTCGTTTTTAAAAAAGTCACGTGTTAAAGACGAAGGCAGAAGAATGTAGTGTTAAATACTAGCTCCAGCATCCCAAGGACAGAGGTGTGTGGAAGGTGGCGTGTGTTTACAGGAGGTGTCGTGATGAAAGATTTTTCAGAGTTTATTTTTTTAATCATAATAGAGGAACAGGCAGGACCGTATCACCCGCAGGAATATATGTTCTTAGTCATGAGGCTTCGCAGGCGGATGCTGGGGACTCTGGCAGCAGTGCTGTAACCATGTAGGGATCCAGGGTTCTCAGAAAGAGCCAGCCTGTGCACTTCCTCCTCTTACCATTTTTCTTAGTGTATAAATGGTTCTGTAGTACAAGGAATTGTGCCCAAACTTTGTCCTCAGATTTAATACAAGTGTTCTGTGAAGCAGTCTCATAAGTTGTTAATACAACAATCGTGAGAAATATTTAAAGGGATGAGTGCAGGTTTAAAAGTAAATCTACATACGTGCATTCATTCCAAGTTGATTTTCTAAATTGCTGTGATTTCATTATCATGCAGAACAAGACAGAAAAAAGCTTGAGATAGTTTTGACAAAGGACAATTACTGAAAAGGATCTGCCTGTTCTTCATTGATCAAGCTCAGTTTTTAAAAAGTGCAAAAGGGGTCCTGACCAGTGTAGCTCAGTTGGTTGAGTGTTGTCCCATGCATCAAAAGATCACTAGTTCACTTCCCCATCAGGGCACGTGCCCAGGTTATAGTTCGATCCCTGGGTGGGAGCATGCAGGATGCAGCTGATGTTTCTCTCTCACATCGATGTTTCTTCCTCCCCC